AAATACATAGTAGACCTTAATCCATCCCCTATATGGTTCCTTATCTTCTATCGTCTTTTCTCTGCGTGCTGGACCGTGTGATGTCTTCTGAGTTGTTTTCCAGTTCCCTGAATATCTCTCCATCTGTGTCTAATCTGCTTTTAAACTCAACCACTGATTCTTTTTTCCCCACCAATGACATTTTCTTTTTAATTCGTAGCTGTTCAGTCTGTGGTAGGGCTTGTTTCCCAGATATTCCTGAGCATGTTTAGAGTGGCTCACTGCCTGGCCGCGTGTGTGATGCCGTCCTGTGTTTCCTTGAACACTTCATGTGTAGTCAACTGATCTTCCAGTGACTGACAATTCCTATATGAAATGCCTTGGGGGCACAAATCTCTGTCTCCTCTGCTCTTTCCCTCCCTCCCCTGGTTCTCATGACTCATGCTTGCTTAGGTCTTCATGATCTTTTCGAGCTCGTGTTTGATTGATCCGCGCCTGCGGGGATCCTGAGTGTCCTATGTTGGGAATGCGGCCTTCCAGAGTCGGAGAGGACTTCTTCTTCAGGTCCTGCTTTAAGCGGGACTCTCAGGGGCTCAGGTCCTGGGCCCACCTGCTGGCCCAGGATGCCGCCCCGTCCACTGCGGCACTGATGCTGGTGTTTGCCCTTAGACCAAACTCACATTTTTTGTTGTTGTTCTTATTTAATACCACTTACTTTCCCCTGCTCAAATTTCAAGTCCCTTTTTGTTATAGACTTAAATTCCAAAGGCAAAGTGTGGTTTTTTAGAAAAGCCCTTACTCTTGTTCACTATGCGTGAGATTGCTTGTGGCTGGCCTGAGCCCCACGTGCCGCGATGAGCGCCCAGGGCTGCTGCGCCCTCACTGGGCAGGGGAGGCCGTGTTATCTGACGTGTGTGGTTCTGTGGGTCCAGGTCAGCGTCTAGGCACGGCCTGTCTGAAGTAAGAGCTCCAGGGGGCTGTGGACTGGTGTATCAGCTCATCAATCTGACCCAGGCCTCCGTGAAGCTGGACGAGGGGGCAGACCTGGAGGTGGGTGTGGGGGGCTCGAGGGTCCCTCCAGCTCCTGGGTCCTCCCTTCCCCTCCAGGGCCTGGGCCTACCCAGCACACAAATACCTCTGACTTAGGAGGCCAGGGGAGGGTGGACAAGGGGCTCAGTGCCTCCAGGCTGGGGCCGCAGGACGGACACTCCCCCCACCTCACTGGGCCAAGTGCTTTGGCGTCTGTGAGACGCAAGGCCGTGAGCCCGAGGCCTCCACCCACGGCGGCGGGGTGGCTCCCCTGCCCTCTGACCCAGGAGGGTTGCCGTGCCTCGTGGCATCGAGAGGGGCTTAAGGCCAGTTAGGATGCCTTCGCATCCTCGCCACCATCCAAAGCTCAGAGATCCTGCACTCCATGATAGCAAAACGCAAACGCCTTGTGAGCTCAGTCCTTCCAAGAGCCTCGCTGGGAAGAACATTCCCGAGGCTAGCTGAGCCCGGGGCCAGGAGGGAGGGGAGGGGGCTATCTTCCCCTCTTCGGGGGTCTGTGTGGTGGTTGTGCGGGGACACAAGGAGCACTCAGAGGAGCAGGGATGGGGGCAGGAGGAGGGGCTACCTCAGTTTCCCCAGCTGCAGCCTTCCAAGTGTGCTGGATTAAAAAGAACCCCGCCCGGGCGCTGCCTGAAGCCCGCAGACACTTCATCGCGGCCTGCCCTGAACGTCGCCCGGACTCTGCTCTTTGCCACCTACAGAGGCTGGGCCTGTGGCTTTCCCTTGTCTGCACTTGCTTCCTGCCCACTGCCTGGGGTGGGGGGGGGGGCGGGGTGCGCTGCGAGGAAGCAGGCCTGCTGTCCAGGGAGCACACTCCCCAGGGTAGCCTCATCCTGGGCGCTGGCGAAGGCTGCCCGGAAGGAGCTCCCGGACAGAGGGACTCCCCTCCAGGACGCATGCCCTGGGCCGTGGGGTGGGGGGGTGCCTTCGCAGACATCACCTGTCCAGAAGCAAGACACGCTCTCTTTCCGACGTGCACCAGATCTTTCCATCCCGTCTTTGCCGCGAAATCGAACGTGCGCGAAGCCGTGCATCACTCCGTAGGTGCACGTTCACCACGGTTCACAAGGCAAACAGCCGCAGCGTGGAGATGGCAAGTGCCCCCCTCACAGGACGTCCGCCCCACTCACACCTCCAGGACACCACTTCCTGGATGCTCATGTCCGGTGGACCCTTTGGGTTTTCTTTTTTCTTCTTTTTTGGTTTTATCACCTAGGACCTAGGTGTACATCTCTAAACAAACAATTTGCTTTAGCCTGCTTGGGACCCTGTGATTACAGGACTGTGGCCTGTGTCTTATGCCCATGACAGAGGCCTGTGTTTGCTGTTTGTCCTCCTCAGTGTCCTGGGATATTCCGTCACATGAATGCCCCAGCATTTATGTGCTCGTTCTGCACGTGGTGAGCATGGTAGGTTGTGTATGGGTTTTTGGCTATCACAGATAAGGCTGCTGGTGAACACAGCAGCATTCTTTCTGGGTGTGGAGGGCATAAGTGTTGTGGATCTTACAAAAGATACAGAGAAAGATGTAGCTATAGAGTGGATTTCTGAGGATTGAACAGGTGTGGTCTCCGTAGAGAATTCCAGCCTTCTCCCGAAATGGTCAGACTCACACTCCCAGCCGCAGAACAGAGGGACCCGTCGCTCCGCTCTCCGGCAGCACTTAGGATTAGCAACCTTTTTAATTTTTGCCGGTGTGAAGGGTGTGCAAGGGTATTTCCACTGTGGTCTTACTTGGCCTTTTTTCAGATTTCTGAGGAGGGGATTGCACGAGCTCACTGGGCAATCTGCAATCCTCAGGCTCAGTTTTAACAAGAAAAGGCCAATGAAGGCTAGGGAGAGGTGGAGTGGTGGGATTTGGGCATGAATTCAGAAAACCAGAGTTTGGATCCCTTTTCTTTTTTTTTTTTTTTAAGATTTTATTTATTTATTTGACAGAGAGAGACCAGCGAGAGAGGGAACACAAGCAGGGGGAGGGGGAGAGGGAGAAGCAGGCCTCCTGCGGAGCAGGGAGCCCGATGTGGGGCTCAATCCCAGGACCCTGAGATCATGACCTGAGCCGAAGGCAGATGCTTAATAACTGAGCCACCCAGGCGCCCCTGGATCCCTTTTCTTATTTCCAGGACCCTGAGGTCAAAGAGGGGAAACACTGTAAATCAAGGAGAATGATATTTTGGAATGGCCCATGGATATCATTCTCCTGAGGTCACCTGTCGTAAGTGTAGGCGTAAATTCTTAATGCTTGGTATTCATTTTAGGCAGTTCTCTGTACCTCCAAGCTATCCTTTGTGGAGGGCACTAATGCTTATGAAATACATAAAATATGAATAGTCCCACATTCCACATTATAAGATAACTTCCTATCAAATAGACTGAGCTCCCCTCCCCTATGAAAACAGGTTTTACCTTTTCTGCGTGGCTGTTTTTTATTTTGACAGCAAGCAGCAGGCCTTAACGGGCTGTGGGACTGTGAAGACGCAGGTTCACACCCGGGGTGCTGACGGCTTGGTCGGGTTGGGAGGAAGGAGCTGTTTTCAAGGTGCAGAAGGTTTCGGAAGAGGCCGTGCCAAGGACACAGGGGGTCTGGGTGTGTCCAGAGCTGTGGGCTGTGGAGGGAACCCGTCCATCCTGCACGGCCAAGCACAACCACATGGGAATTTTATTCTTATTATTTTTTAAGATTTTACTTATTTATTTGTCAGAGAGAGAATGAGAAAGATCACAAATGGGGAGCGGCAGGCAGAGGAAGAAGCAGGCTCCCGGCTGAGCAGACAGCCCGATGAGGGACTCGATCCCAGGACCCTGGGATCATGACCTGAGCCGAAGGCAGATGCTTAACCAACTGAGCCACCCAGGCATCCTGGGGAAATTATTCTTTTTTTTGCAGGGGGGGGAATTATTCTTAAAACAGAGTTCCAGCTACACAACCCAGCTTGGCCCTCAGTCTCGGGCAACCTCTGGAGAGGAATCCACAGGCAAGAACAGTGCCAACACAGTTGTTTCCAGAGCCCATCGTGGGGGTGAGACCTCTTGCCACCCAGAGGCAGCTTCAGAAATCTTCCCAAAACATGGAAATTCCATGCAGCTTGGCACTTTTGAACCCTTCCCAAAATGCAGTGCATTGGGGCACACGCTAAACATTTTGGGGTCTCGGTTTCTTCGGGGCCAGAAAAGCTTTCTGGAAGCGTCCTGACTCACCCTTGCCCAGAGCCCCTGATTCCCAGGGCTTGAGTTGCTGCGGGGCTGAGGTGGGCGGGGGGAGAGTAAGAAGCTGCACTGGGGGAGGAACTTATGGCCAAGTCTTGCTCTGCAGTCCCCGCTGCCCCCTGGATCTGCCCTCCCAAACCCCACGGGCCTTGTCCTGGGCCCTCTCCTCCCCGTGCGGCAGCGGGTGAGTGCTCGGCTCCCTGTTGGACCAACAAGTCGTATTCACAGGGAAGGGGTTGGCACCAAGGAGAGCCCGCAGGGGCATGGAAGCAGAGCCTGCGGGTCAGCACAGCCCAGCCCCGCCCTGCCCTCCTGCAATGGGCGATGTGAGGGGATGCAGAAGGGCCCTGGGGAGTCGGGGCCCGCACCCCCCCTATGCTTACCAAACACCCCCACACCGCACCCCGGCAGCCGGCGGAGCGGCAGGTCTGGGACTGTGACCTCGGGGAAGAGAGGCGAGTGCAGAGACTCTCCGTGTCCCGTGGGTTCCCTGTGCTGGTGGCCTGACCGTGCGGCCGCTCCAGGTGAATGGAGACTCGCCCGCAGGGCCCAGGCTCCCCTGCTGTCCACCCAGGGGTCCAGCTGGGCCGTGGCCGTGACCCACCCGCCACCACGGCATTTCCTCGTCGTGAGCTGCCGGGGCCGCCGACCTGCCGGCCGGGCCTGTCCGGACACGGGGCCGAAGCCCTTGACCCCAGGCCGGGAGGGGCCGCTGCCTCTCGCGGGGTGGGTGTGGCTGTGACACGGGGTCTCCTGTCTTGTAGGATCAGGGACAGGAACGACAACGGTTCTTACGCCCTGTGCTTGCTGCATGAGGGGAAGGTGCTGCATTACCGCATAGATAAGGACAAAACCGGGAAGCTCTCCATCCCCGACGGGAAGAAGTTCGACACGCTCTGGCAGGTAGGGGCCGTCCTCACGAAGGAGAAAGCCCCCCTGGGTCCCTGCCCGACACGCACCCAGGCAGGGCTCCTTTCAACCCTCAGGTGCCTTGAAGCTCTGGGTGGGGGCTGGGGGGCGGGGACGGCAGGTGGACGAGGCTCCAGAGGCCCAGGACCGCTCAGCTCTCCGCACCACGGAGGTGCCCACGGACAGCCGTGCTCACAGAGGCCCAGGAGGCCCTGCCGTTTCTCCCTGTGTTCCAGACCGAGTATCAAGGGTCAGGTGCCTTGCTCGCTGCAGAAGGAATCTCTGTGAAATTAAGGCAACTTAGAAAGTAGGTCAGCGCCGCCTGCGCGTGCTCAGGACGTTTTCAGCTCTGCTCTGAAAGGGTTTTATTCTTGACCCCCCTGTTAGGAAACCCCCAAACAGCTCCTAATTTGGGAGGCACGTAGGGAGTGAGGAGCAGGGAACGGACGCCATCACGCTTTCCTGAGGGCCGAGGTGGGCACACGCCACTCATCTGCACTTACGTCATGGCTACGCATGGCCGAGGCCACACTGTACGTGCCACCCCAGCCCAGCACCCTATAAACATCCGGGCCCGGCAGCGCAGTTTCCCTGTTTCCCTGAGAGTCGGGCGTTGCTGCCCTTGGTGGAATTCCTGACTTTGGAGAAGGAGCCAGCAAACCCCGAACCCAGCCTGGCCCCCAGCCTTTTTTTGTGTAGTTCTTGGAGAAGTGTTTTTTTCACTTCGAAGGATTCTTTACAAAATAATAATAATAATAAGTAAAAGGTTGTGTAACACGGTACGCAAGCCTAAAATATCGCTGTCTGGCCGGTTTGCTGACCCCTGCCCTTGAGGGGTATTCTGACAGGTTTGCCCACCTGTGGGCACCCTCGTCCAGCACACTGTCGGAAACCACAAGATATTTGAGTGACACTGGAGCGCTGGACGGGAAGCCTCTCTGCCTTAGGGACCCCAAGACTGGCAGCCTGAGAGCACACAGTTGCATTCATCAGAGCAAGCTGAGCCCCGGTGTCAAGCATCTTAGGGCCGGTCACACTGCAACGTCTGCTTAGAGGGTAGATCTCACCACAATAAAAGACAATCCTTCCTGGAAGGATAAAATATATTCATTCAGGGGCACCTGGCTGGCTCAGTAGGTAGAGCAGGCAACTCTTGATCTCAGCGTCGTGAGTTCAAGCCCACCTTGGAGTCTACTTTAAAAAAAAAAAAAATAGATATTTTTTTTTCATTCAACAAAGATTGACCCAAGCAGGGAAGTTTTGAGAGGAGAGAAGATTCAGGAGCAGGGTCCTTAACTGGAAAAGTTACCAATAAACAGATAAGGAATAGATACCAGATATGAAGATTATGAAGATTCTAGGTTGTCCAAAGAGGAAATGTCTGTAAGAAAATGTGAAATACCAAGACTGTCTTCTTACTGTGTAATTTGGATGAGATATAAATAAATCTATGTGCCATTACTTAAGTTTTGATGGACCAGTTGGACATCATGGGTCACAGTTTTCTGGGACCCATTAGCCAAGGATGGCCACATTCTCTCAACAGAAGGCCCCCTTTCCCCGTGTCCCAGCTCTGCTGTCTTCTCCCTGGAAGTCTTGGGCTGAATGACTTGGTCCCTCCGAGAAGCCATTGCCAACAACCCCCGTCAGCAGTCATTAATAATTAACAGTATATTGCGATTCCTTTACCTGCCTCTCCATCAAGAAAGGAAGTGCCTAAGGGGTAGGAAATGTATCTCATTCACCTTTGTTTGCCTTTGGTCCTGCCTTGGGGCCCAGAGGGTTTGTTGAATGAGTCTATGAAGGAATAAGTGTTGACATGCTGAATTTGTTTTTATAACATTACATAAATAGAGGAGAAATAAATAAGTGTAACTTGCTACCAAAAAAGGAAGGGAGGGAGGGACAGAGGGAAGGATGGAGGGGTGGATGGATTGAGGGATGGTGGGAGGGAGGGAGGGATGGAGGGAAGGATGGATGGAGGGATGGATGGATGGATGGATGGATGGATGGAGGGATGGATGGAGGGGTGGGTGGGTGGAGGAGTGGATGGATGGAGGGATGGTGGGAGGGAGGGAGGGATGGAGGGAAGGATGGATGGAGGGAGGGATGGATGGATGGATGGATACAGGGATGGATGGAGGGGTGGGTGGGTGGAGGAGTGGATGGATGGAGGGATGGTGGGAGGGAGGGAGGGATGGAGGGAAGTATGGATGGAGGGAGGGATGGATGGATGGATGGATGGATGGATGGATGGATGGATGGATGGATAGAGGGATGGATGGAGGGGTGGGTGGGTGGAGGAGTGGATGGATGGAGGGGTATAGGGAGGGTGGGGCAAAGTCCAGAGGGGAGCTGGTGAGTGGACTCCTGTCCAGGATGTGAGTGTGGAGCGGGAGAGGCATGAGGAGGGACCAGGACGACCTCCCGAGGAACCATGTTTTGTTGTTCAGGGGTATCCTCGAGTCACGTTTAAGGTGTGCAGGGGGAGTGGGCTGCTCCAGGATTTCCCTATTTCCTGCCTCCGATGTTTATGGCTCTTTCCTTCTTCCCTTTCAGCTGGTGGAGCATTACTCTTACAAACCAGACGGGCTATTAAGAGTTCTTACAGTTCCATGCCAGAAAATTGGTGGGCAGACAGGTGAGTTCCTGACCTTGAAGACTCTGTCTCTGGGATCTTGACAGTAATCAGCCTGGCTTTACAGTCAGCCTGTCCCAGATCCGGGTGGGATGAGGGCTTGCTTTTACCGGTTGATGAAAGATGACGTCGGGTCACTCCGGTTAATCACACTGTAGCTGATAGCTTTAACTGGAGAAAGCGGGTTAGCTCTCATTGCCCGGGTGAGGACGCTGAGTGGAGGAGGAGAAACTGCTTCTTGGGCAGGCTAGCTGACGGTCCAGCTGAGTGATCTGCACCCGGGCAGGGAGCCGCTGGGTGTTGGGGATTTAGCCATGACTGTCCACGCTCTTTCCACCCAGGAAACATCAACTTTGGAGCTCGCGCGCCCCTTCCAGGGGGCCATCCTGCGGTAAGTTACGAGAGCTGGGCCCGCGGTGGAGCGGCTGCATGCTAGAGCCAGGAAATCATGGGTTAGCGCACAGGATAGCCATGATTGTTGTTCCTGCCACCCTTGATAACCTGGGGCCGGGGAGCGTCAGCTAGAATCAGCCTACTTTCAGTTGCAGGCCAGCCGAGTTCATTTCTTCATAGGTTAGACAGGGACACCCGGTGTTAAATCAGAAATATGCCTCCTGGCGGCTTTGGGAAATGATGTGCAGGATCCAGAAGACCGTGCACATGGTCCCTGGAGTGAGTCTGCTGTGCGAGATGTCTCACTGAGCTCGTCCGCCCAGCTCTTTTGGTTAGATCATCGTTAACAGAAGCATCGACCTCTCCGGAGAGTGGGTTTGACGGTAGCTTAGCAGGGGAGGCTTGGTTGGGGGTGGGTGGGATGCTCAGCAGCATCAGATGAGAGAAGCCTCTAGAGAAGGCCAGAACGCACCTCTCCCTCCGCGTCAGTGGGAGGTGAGAATGTGACCTGTCCCCACGTCTCCATGTGGGCTTGCCCAACACACGCCCCCCTCTGTCCCCCCACCCCAAGCCAACAACCAGATTTATACTCAGAGAAGGAATTGGGTCCCGCTCCTTTTTGGGGACCTCAGTGTGGACCTTTGGTGTCTTTTAATGCCATCTATAAAGTATAAAAATCCCCCTATCGTGAGCTGTGTGCCCCACGTCTCCCTATTTGCCTATTAACCCTTAAAAAACAGAATCAGCAGAAATCGGGATGTCCGTTCTGCCCACAATAAGGATGGCTGACCGCTCACAAGCCGCACCCAGATTGAAGCAGGGAACCTCTCTGGGGGCAGCACCTGTCACCAGATTGGGGGTGGGGGGGATCGGAATTTGCTAAAATACCAGTGAACTTCTGCATCAACGTCTAAAATAGAGCCCCTGTATGGAATCATTTTATTTTACCCTTCATGTGGCTCCTGGGCTGGCACGTCTAGATGCTCCATGCTCCATCTACCATACGTCACGGTAGATGCTCCATGAGACAGATTGATCTTCCTCCCAGATGGGTGAGGGCTGAGGGCTAAGAACTCTTACAAGAATATCAAGCCCTAGATGCAGCCGTGCATCACCCAGTAGCTTCAAGAAGTTAGGTATTTTGGGAAATCTTTTTATTGACTGTCTCAATGCATACAGAAAAAAACACGCATGCCCTACGTGTCCAAATCAGTGAATTTCCACAAACCATGGAACCAGCCCCCTGAAGAAGTAACAAAATTGGGCACAGTCAGACTTACTTCTAGTTTCTTTAGAATGATTTGTCGTGTTTGTGATTTAGTAACCTATATGAGACGGGGGCTACTTAATGTGACAGCCCTAATTCTGTAGCTTTCCATGGAAACTGTTAACCAAAGTATTTTTCCAGATCCTTCTGCTCAGGTGGCAGGCTTATCCTGAAGCATCCCTAATGACCAAGTGTGGCCGGCAGCCAGTCTCTGCAGCAGAGTGTGGAGGGGGTTGGCAGTTAATCACAAAGTGATACCACAAAATTAAATAGCATGTCACGTGTTTGCTTTCTGAGATACTGACTCTTCCCTCTTTGCCGTTATGGTTTCTAGATGTGGTCAGCGGGTGGAATAATCTCCAGAATCAAATCATACTCCTTCCCAAAGCCGGGCCACAGAAAGGTGCTAATGCGTCCCCTGCTTCCTGTCCCCCTGCCTACGTGGTAGGACTGTCCCGCACGCGGCGCCTGCACTCCGGCCCCGGCTGCCCTCCGTGCGCGCTCCCCGCCCCGTCCAGCCACTGTGCTCTCTCGCCTGCCGTGTGTGGCCCCAGGTGGGCAGCCTGCGTCCAGTGCTCGCCGTGCTTTCCATGTGGGTCCTGGTCCCTGCCGCCCGGTCCGCCCCCGCCAGCGTGCTCTCTCTGCTCGGTGTGCGCTTGAACGTCCCAGGGTCGGCGCGGGAGGTGGGAGCCTCGTGTTGGAGAACCTTCTCCGAGCAAGCCAAGTGATCTGTTGTCAAAATCACAAGTTGCAGAGCAGGGGGGTCGATTATATAAAGTACGTGCTGATGGAAAGGGTGCCGGGGTCTTGTGGGGGCTGCACAGGGAGCGTCTCAGGCCGTTTATTGCGTGGATGCCAAGGACCACAACACCTGCATCGAGGCTGTAGATTTCCAACACGGAACTTGACTATAACACACAAAAAGACAAGCATGGAATTGGAGGATTAGAAGCGCCCTGTTTCTTTCCGAGGCAGTTAAGGTTGACCTGGGATTCGTTTCTGTATTTGGCTGTGTGATTGAGTTGTGAGGGAAAAAGCAAAGTTTTTTTAAATGATTTATAATGAATCATCTCCGTCTATATATATATATGTGTGTGTGTGTGCATATATATATAATATGTATGGGTTACTATTTTTTCCTTTGTACTTTTTCCATTGGTGGTAGAAAGTGGATTTTTTTGTTAATAATTCTTTCCATTTTCATACCAATTGATATTTTTTTTCCAACATTTCCACCATACAGTTGGGCATCAACTGATGAAGCAAGTTGCTGAAAGTACTTGCTAGGAACAACAGAAAGAAAAAGCATAAGATCCTCAAGATTTTATTTAGGAAGAATTTTCCAGGTGGGCAGTCGTACTCTGCATGCTCCCGGTCTTGTTGTTGATAGATCAGAGAAGAGAGTTGAATGTGATGGTCGAGGGGCAGGTTGTCTGACGAACGGAGCGGCTGTCTGTCTGGATGTCACGTGGCCAGGCGGTGTGGAACAGCTCGTGGAACCACAGCGAGGACGTGACAGCGCTTTGGCAGAACCGCAGTCAGGGCCGCCCGCACCAGGGCAGGCGTGTTAGGAGTCGGGGACCAGGTTGTCAAGGTGACACATTCTCTGTGTCCGGTGCCCCTTTGTCCCACGCTTGGTGTGTGCCTGAAGCCACCGGGCCCAGGAGGTGATTGAGGCTGTGGACCAGAAGAGGTCAACATCTGCCGTGCCCCGAGGTAAAACCCTCCGGCTGCCCCCTTCCAGCCCATGTGGCCCAGGACCCCCGTTGGCTTGCGCCCCTTCTCTTGGGAGAGGGCTCCGCGTGGCCACCCGGACGGCATCTAACAGGCCGGAGGTAGCCTTCTGATTCAGGGTGCATTTTAATCAAGAAACACCTTTTCGAGGCTGAAATCACAAATTTAGTTCAAATTAGTGACTTCGGTACCACGGTTTGGTGGTCAAACACAAGATGCAAGAGTGTTTAATTGAATGTTGCATAGACAGTGCTTCGTAGGACAGCTCAGGGCAGGACACGTGGCCTCCACAGTGCCCAGAACCCCTTACTCGCCGGCTTCCGTGGCCCCTCCGTGTTCAGGGCTTGCGTGGCAGCCGTGGAAGAAGCCCTGTGGACGTGGGCCACACTGCCGGTTGCCACCACTTGTCTATTCATTATTCCCTTTATGATGTGCCGACACACAGCCCCCTGTCCAGGTGCGGTCCCACAGATGGGCGGTCTCACTGTGCACGGACCACATGCCGTGCGTGTCTTAGTTCTCTGGCTCTGAGTGCAGCATTCAGGGACCCTTCACGGGAGCATGAGCACTTAGAGGTTTGTGTGTAAGACAGATAAACACAACCATGTATCTAGGTACATATATGTCACACACACATATTTATATACACACACATCTTAACATGCATGCACCCCCACACACACAAACCGGTTTATCACAAGGACTTGCCTTACACGATGATAGGGGCTGACTAAGCAAATCCCATAGCTGTAGGGCAGACCGTCAGGAAGGGTAGATCAGGAGCAGGGTGGAACCCCTTGGGCATGGCTGAAGTTGTCGTCCACAGCCAGGGGTCAATACGCCCTCCGCCTTTCTCTGTTTCTCTCTCAGGAAAGCTGCAGCTCTCCCCAGAGGACTCTCAACTGATTAAGCCAGGCCCACCCAGGGTAATCTCCCTAATCTAAATCAGCTAATTAGGGATTTTAGTTATATCTGCAGAATCCCTCCATGGCAGTAGCGAAATGACAATTTGATTTGATCATGGAGGACTGGAGCTCAGACTAACCATGTGGACACATCAAAAAGCCAGGAAACAGTAACCCAGCCTAGTGAGGAGACAAGACTCACTGCCACCCCGTCGCTGTCCCAGGCAGGCTGAAGCAGGCTCACGTCACTCGCAGTAACTAAGGAAATATACAGAAAAGAGGCAGTAGATCTTTGTATTAAAGGAGAGCATGTCTCTTTCTTACACTATCAATATATCAGTAAAACTACCTAAAATATCAGTAAGACTACCTAAAAATAAAGAACTATCATCAAAGGAAATAACAAACTGGGAATAAGTATTGGTCCCGATGATACACAGGCAAGGTTAAGATCTTTGATATATAAAGAAATTCTGTAAGTCCATAAAAGTTTTAACTAACAGGCAAATGGCAGAGGATGTCATTAGGTAGTTTGTAGTAAAGCAGATATAAATAGGAAAAACGTAGGAAAACATAAAAATAGGAAAAGCTGTTCCATTTCACAACAAGAGAAATGCAAGTGAAAACTAGGTGCCCTGTTACCTCCACCTGTGAAATGAACCCAAGTAAAAAGCAACAGGATGTGCAGCAAGGGTGTGGTGAGTAAGCCCTCCCCCACTTTGCTGGAGAAGTGTGAGATGATGCAGCCTCAGAAGAAGGCAAGTTCACAACGTCCATCCAAAGTAAAACCACATATGGCGGCTCAACTGCAATTTCGTTTCTAGGTATGTATTGTTCTTGCATTTGTGTGTAACCAGGTATCCATGAAAGTGTTTATTCCAGCATTGTGTAACTGACAAAGTCTGGAAACAAATTAAAAGTCTGTCATTGGGAAGTAAACCAGTTACAATAAAATTCATACCGTGAGAGGCAGCTGAGGTCTAGAATTATTTCCAAATTCCAGTGTTAATTACAAACAACCGATATGTGCTGATAGAATGTCAAATATTCTGGAAGAAATACAGAAACACAGCAGTAACAGTAGTGACTGTTAGGAGTGTCAAGGAGACTTACACTCTACCGTAAACCCCGTTGTGCCTTTGTAAATTCATACCTCTCGAATTTAATCAATTTTTTAAAAAGATAATTAAATAGTAGAAAGTAATGAATCTGATTAATACTGTGAAAATACTTTTCTGGCAAAAAAAAAAAAAGGCTGTTGCCTATTTAAATTTATAACAACTTTGAAATATGCATTGAATTTTCCTAGATGCCAAAAATATTCATAAAGAAGGATTGTGTGATTTAAGTTATGGATTAAATGTATTTTAACTGCTCATCAGAAATATTTTAGGAGAGCTAGTGTTTATGTTTTCGCAAATAGAGGAGGAATTTTCTATTAATTAAACAGTCATGAGAAAGCACTTACAGGAATTATGTCAGCTATCCCATCTGTTTAGATAAGGTGCAAATGACTTTCTTGAGTTTGTTAATTTGATCAGTATACGTGGTTGTTTTTCATAATTCAGGCCCAAAAAGGACATGTCAGAACTTGAATTAATTCTAGCGTGTGGGTAGTTACTGAAAAGTATGTTTTGACTTGAAGAGGACTGTTAATTAGATATTAGAGATTTCCTAATAAAAACTTAAGGACAGGTCTATTTTAAATCTTTTCCTTAGAGACTGGGAATACTTCCGTCCTTAAAAATACAAGTGAAGTCAAGTAACCAATGTAAATAATGATCCACCCTCTTCCCTGCCCTCCGTAATAAAAACTTAAGGCGCGGGTCTATTTTAAAGTTTTCTTTCCATGTTAGTCCTTAAAAATATAAATGAAATTAACTAACGAGTGTCTGTGGGATCCACCCTCTCCCCTCCCCTCCCAACACTTACTTTAAAGGCTGGACGTCCTTAAATGAACGAAGTCCCTCCCAATCCTAGAACGGGAGCGTCTGTCTTGCTCCTTCAAGTACAGAAACCTTGGCTTCGTGTGAATAAGAGCGTCCTTATAGGAGCGTTCACCTCCTGTTTCAGAGGCACGCTCCCTAAAACGCGACACAACATTTACCCGTAGCTCAGTGGTGGAAATGTGTTCCAGAATTTCAAATTCAGACCCATTTCTCATGCTGTATTCCAACCCCTGCACTGATGATTGGATTATTTGAAGGCTTATGTGTAAATACACAGTTGGCTAGGGTTGCGCTGGAAGAGCGAGAGAAGGAGAACAGTTGTGAGGTCACCATCAGGCGGTGACGCCGAGGCACCAGGACAGACCCCGGAGAAAACGTGTTGCCCTGTCATCGTCCGGGGCCACGCTGCAGCCCTCCGCTCCTTAGGTCGGGACGATTGATGGTGGACGTCCGGTGTTGGTTTGAGTGGACGGGAAGCAGACGTGGTCTCGTTCCGTGCCCTGGCCCAGGAGGGTCTGCCCTGGGCCGTGGGGTCTTGTCCCCCCTTGGGACCACAGCCCCTCTTGCAGAGACCAGGGCCGTGCCTGCAATGGCAGCCCGCGGTCTGAAGCCTGCGGGCTCTCTTTGGCACTGTGGCTGTGACATGTACATGGTCCTCTTTCCTGCTGCTCTCCCTGATGCGGAAAGGTCTGTCCAAAAGCCTAAAAGCGAAGGTCTAGAAATGGATGTTAGGACACAGCACGATGCTCCCGGATCACCAGGAGAACGATACCTGTGTACCTTGTTCACTTCTGCCTCCCCCCTCAATAGGCACCCAGCGGATAGCTGTCGAACACATTTCAGTTTGCAGTTAAGCCTGGCCGGTAAGAGATCGGGGATCATAATTTAAGACCCAGTTTGGTCTTATCTTTAATTACTGTGGAGTGACCTATTTTTACCTCCATTTATAAAATTAACGATCACTCTTGTTCTCTGGGAGGGAGAACACGAAGGTCGCTAGTGCCATCTAGTGGTGGCCCGCAGGTTTTAATCGCCGCAAAAATGGGAGGAAAAAATGCACCTGCTCACATTCCATTGACTCCTTATGCTCTGTGCGGAAAAGGAGATGGTATTCATTGGGGCAGAATAAATCATCAAATATAAAGCAGAAAGAATAATGACAGATGACAGAATAGGCCAGCAATGTGTTTTTCATTAAATTCTAACGCCAATCAGTACGTTTATAATTTAGCATCATTCTTTACAAAGTCTTTGAATTCTTTTCCGCTGGGCATTCGAACCCAGAGGGTGTTTGGTGTCGTTCTCCTCAGTGGCACACCCACCAAACACCTTAGGAAAGATGGAATTGTGTTTTGTACTTTGCCTTCATCATAACGTCACCACCACCCTGTTAATTGACGCACCAGAAAATCTCCCATTTCTCCCAAAGAACATTCTCCCGAGTGTCCTGCCAGCTTCTATGCCAGTGGGGCGACCCAGGGGCCCGGGCAGGGAGTGGATGTGGTTGCTGAGGGACTCGCGAGGCCCCAGCCAGGCTGGTAAGGCTCGTAAGGGCACGGGGTCTGCGTGACCTTCCAAGGGAGACCCCAGCCCGTTTCCTGATGCCTAGCCAAGGCCGGCGAGGGTTGAGCGCCACTCTGCCCATCAGAGTCTGCTCTGCTCTGTCCAGGGCTTTAGGCTCAGTGTGTCCAGCACCACCAGCTCTCACTCACTCTTGTCACTATTTGTACACTCCCACCTCTGCTTTAGAAGTCTTCCCCACAGGCTTCCAATGGCAGGTCATTGCATTCTGGCTTAACCTGTGAAGTCCTGGGGCTCGGGAGAGCATTCGCTCAGGGCGGAGCAGTCGTGGTCCCGGGATAGCCTGCCCTCGGTGGGCAGAGGGCAGGGCTCAGGGCCAGCAGAAGGGGTGCGGGCGTCTCTCCATATCTGTGACGGGCGGTCCTGGCGTCTTGAAGTCATGTCTTTGGATCTCAGAGTTTCCTGCCTCCAGGGAAGATCAGAGACGTTGAAATGATTGTATATATGAACCTAAAAGAGGCTTTTTTTTTTTTAATTGAATGCTATTTCCACCTTGGAGTTTGACTGCAGCTGAGCAGAGAGTTGATGGGAGGCCTTGGGGATTCCCAGTCTCTCCGAGGATAGTTCTATCGAGACAGGGCAATTATCTTCTAAATGAGAAGTGGACTCACAGGACATCCAACCGCCCTGTAATCACAGGCCAGTTTTTAAAAAGAGGTGGTGGATCGTCATTTGGGATTATCCACGCCTATTTCCCTCCATTAGGGTAAAGCCTGGAGAGATCACTCATTTCTAAACCACACTGACTTACACTTCCCATCTCCCAGTTTTAAGACACTATCCCCATTCATTCATTCATTCATTCACATTCATTCATTCATTCACTCGTTGGTGTGTGTTTGGTACATTTTTTTTTTTTTTTTTTGAGCTCCAGCTCAGTGAGGGGCCTTACGCTGTTTTTACTCGTGATACGTCCCAGCGCCTCCCGTGGAGTGTGGTAGGAATGCGGCAGGAACGCCGAGAGAGGCGGAGAAAGTGGGGCGAGCACCCTCCGCTGACACGGGAGAGCGGGCATCCCGTAGCCCCGTCCCTTGGGCCTTTGTGCTGTGGGCAGAAGCTTGGTGGCGCTCGGCAGATGCCGTGAAGGAGGTCCAGGTTTTGGAGACAGGTGGTGGCCATGGTTCCTTGTGACTCCATTATTGTCCTTCTGGCTCCCGGGCCTGGGACGTCAGGCAGGCAGACGAGGACCCCGGGTGTGCCACGAGATACGTCACCATGTACAGTGAAGCTTGATGTCTCTGTGTCTTTACGTGTCTCCAAACCCTGGCAGTATCTCGTGTCTTCGTGGCCAGTGTTTGGGCCCTGCTGAGGTAAACGGCTAGGTGACCCTCCTAGCGAACTACACCAAAAAGCAAACAAAAAAAAGGTTTGAATTGTGATTTTTTTCCCCACAAACCAAATGTAGTGCAGTACCCTTGTGTTAAAAGGAGGGGCAAAGGCGGGCCAGGAAGACTCAAGATAGAGACTTTCAAAAGGGAAAGGTTACAGGGATGTAAGGAGGAGATCCTTCCCCCACCCTGTTAATCCATCATGCAAATTAATGTAAATCAGATCAAGCATCAGGAAGATTGCTGCCCTCCGGCATCCTATCCCGTAGCTAGATCTCCATGGAAGGTCAGGTTCAGGACTTGGATAGACCCTGTGGAGTCAGGGAGTAGGGGAAGCAGCTGGTGGATACTGTGTTTCTTCTTACATAACTTTATATGACATTAAATTGAACAGAAAGGATGGATGGAGGAAAACGAATCCCGGGGGGGCGTGTATAGGCAGAAATGGGGTTTGAAAGGGCCTGTGACCGGGGCCCCTCTGAGACCGTGCAGCCCCTTGAGACAGAGCTCCATGTAGCCCCCGTGGGGTCCAAGCAGTCGCCCGAAGAATGAGATAAGCCATGGTGTTTTTTTCTGTCTCTCTCCCTGACGCTTTCCCTTGTCTTCTCCGCATAAGTCGTAATGTGATTATTTGAAAACAAAAGTCATTGTGCAGATCAGCGCCACGGTGCGTCCGCGGAGGAAAGTAACCTGCTGTCCTCTGTGTACTTCAGTCCTCCTCGTCCACAGGGAGCCGGCCCGAGAACTCCGTGACCTTCAATCCTTACGAGTCAGACCGGGGGCCCTGGGCCACGGACAGAGGTGAGCCACGCGCGGTCACATCCCCGGCCATTCGCGGCACAGCAGTGCCCACAGCCCTCGACCAGACTTGCCATCAGCAGTGGGGCCTCAGCCGGACCTCCTTGGGTTCTCTGCGTGGCTCCAGGTTCTACCTGGTGCACTCGGTCTGTTTATTGCTACAAAAACGGCCCCCAAATGTAGCAGCTTCGGGCAGCAGTCATTCAGTTACGTCCTGCAGGTCAGGGGTCTGGGCCAGGCTGGGCGGTGGGGAGGCCGTGGGGAGGCTGGGGCACGGGGCTGGCGGGCATCTCGGCCTCCACGCCGACGGGGCCCCTCCCTCGGTGTCTCCTCGAGGGCTGGCTTGCACTTTTTCCAGCATGGAAGGCACCCGGGCACCTGGTGTCTGAAGCTTAAGAACCAGTCTTCCGGCCAACAGGGCAGAGACGGTGCATGGTCCTTTATAACCTTGCCTGACTATGTCGCCAACGTCATTTCTGATATAGTCCATTGGTTGACACAGTGACAAAAGCCACTGGGGGCAGATGGTGACATAGACTTCACCCCTCGATAGAAGGAGTGTCCGTTTTCAGACAGTGTAAAGCCGTCCATTAGGGAGGCTTCTGGCATGAACGACCCCTTTTCTGTGCACATCCGTGCAAGAACAGGGTCGAGTCCCATGGGGGTGAGGGGCTTTTGGCTGCTGCCCCCTAACAAACCGGGAGAGACTGTGCCCTGAGCGCTCACCGGCATCGCAACCGTCAGAGGTGATCAAGGTCTGGAAAGGCGAGGTGTGCCCAGAGGAGGCAGGAGCGGGAGATGTGGGGATTTTCAGCAGGGACCCAGCCCCAGGGTCGGGTGTCTCTTGACCGCCCTGCAGAAGCCCAGAGAGAAGCCATGCCCATGGACACCGAAGTATACGAAAGCCCCTACGCTGACCCCGAGGAGATCAGGCCCAAGGAGGTCTACCTAGACCGCAAGCTGCTGACCCTGGAGGACAGTGAGCTGGGCTCTGGCAACTTCGGGACCGTGAAGAAGGGCTACTACCAGATGAAGAAGTAAGTCATGGCCACGCCGCCGCACGGCCCGTTCTCCCGTGAGCCGACGTTCTAGGAACTGCCACACTCCACGCATCCCGCACATTTAGTCCCAAACACAAACTCTAACCCAGCAGGGCTGAATCCTTCTTCGTTAAGGGTGTATGGTTGTTCGTTTCTGGTATAGCTACAATGCAAGCATTCATTGTGTATCCTAGCTTTATATACACCAATTCCGTGTATTAGTTTGCACGTAGGAAGCGTGCCTTTTAGAGCATTAGAAAGTAGAAACAAGCAAAACGTAATAAAATGAGAACATCCTGTTTGTACCATCCAGATAACCCTACTGTTAAGTAACAGTAGTGTCTATATATTATTTGGGTCTTTTTATGCACACACATACACGCATGTATTTTTTAATTAAAATGCAATTACTCAGGGGCGCCTGGGTGGCTCAGTCGTTAGGCGTCTGCCTTCGGCTCAGGTCATGATCCCAGGGTCCTGGGATCGAGTCCCACATCGGGCCCCCTGCTTGGCGGGAAGCCTGCTTCTCCCTCTCTCACTCCCCCTGCTTGTGTTCCTGCTCTCGCTATCTCTCTCTGTCAAATAAATAAATAAAATCTTTAAAAAAAAATAAAAAAAAAATGCAATTACTCAGTGACAGTAACACAACATTTTCAGGTATTTTATTTTATTTTTTAAATCATGTCTCGTTTCTCTTACCCAGAAAATTCTTGATTATGGACATCATTAGTGTAATTATTTATCTGCTTTTTCCTATAATTTCAGATCACAACACCCACCATATAATAGTTAGAATTGCTGTGTCACTGAAATCTCTGTTCCTCATTTGCTCTTTAGAAGGTGTCCTGCATAGAATGTTCAGTAAATGTGCCGGACTGTATAGTCCTTTGAAACAGACCCTATCTCTGAGTCTGTATGTTTGAATTAATAGGTTACTGATACGAATATAGTTGGGTTTAGTTGTTTGATATTATTTTGAATTATGACATTTTATAGATGTTTTATCTTGAGTAGGTAAATTTACATTACTCAAGTGTCAAGAATGTACGCAAAGCATGCACGGAAACTCTTGCTTTCAAATCCCGTTTTTCTGGGTGCATGTAATTGACTGATAGGCTTGTTCAAAAATCCGTGCATGCATATATCACAGTCATTTGTGGGATGAATATAAATTACTCTGTATTAAGGTATAAATTTCCTCAATTAGTTCGTGACACTTAAATTCCTTGCTTAATTAAATACATATATTAACACAGACATAACTATGGATACGTAATTTCAACTAGAGGGCTTGGGGAGAGGAGAGGAGATGTTTTTAATCATGGATGTGCATTACAGCTTATTGAGTACTCGTTTTCTTCTGCTGAGATGACCTTATGGTTTTTCTCCTTTGTTGTGTTTATGTGGTGAAGGACACCGATTTTCATATGTTAAAGCCACCTCGCCTTCTTGGAATAAACCCATCTTTGTTCTTGAATTAGATATTCATTTTTTTCATAAATCACTGAATTGAATTTACTAATATTTCTGTTAGAATATTTGCATTTAGGTTCACAAGAGAGATCAGTAAATGATTTTCTTGGAAGTTTCTTTGTCTGGTTTTGGCATCAGGGTATAATGCCGGCCTCAAAGTGAATTGGGAGGTTTCCTTCCTCTTCTCTTTTCTGCAAGAGATTGTGGGTGTTTTTTCTTCCTTCACTACTGGGAAGGATCGAGAGGTTTCTCTTGTTCATTCTGACCCCTACCTCACGCCATACACAGAGCCAGTTTCAGGTGGCTGGTAGTCGGAAATGTGGAAAGGTAACATGATGCACTGACTAGACAGAGCATAGAGAAGTAGCTCCATGATTGTAGGAGGGGGAGGGATGCTCCTGGGGGTGCTTGTGTAGGGTCTACAGCTTGCATTCGGTGTGGAAACACTTGTTAAACTCTACACTGAAGTGGTCTGGGTTTTTGTGAATGTATGTTAGACTTACCCAGTTGTTCTCTTATTTTACCATCTTTTTGGACAGTTCTGTTTTTATTCTCCCATTTCGGAGTTCAACAAAGGAGACGTTCTTCCTGCATGTGTTGCGAATCCTTATTACAGAGAAATGCACTTTTTTCAAATCATACAGAGTTAACTTCCATTCAATTATTTAAGTCTCACTATATCAGAATATTTTCAGGAGGTCAAACATGACCTGTGGGATGTTTTTATAAGAAAGTGAAAAACGATTTTTTGCAAAGTTGTTGAAGCTTGCTTAAAATTGTCAATGCTCAGTTTTAGAAAGTGTTTTGTAAACTGTGAGCTTTAACAATGTATGCTTTTTAATTCTGCACCTGGGTATGCTTTATAATTCCGCACCCGGAGGTTCACTTTCAACATATATCAAAGGAATGTTGTAGTCACACACATTACAGATAATCTGAGATGGCAAATCTGAATATGTTGCAGGAATCCATGCATGTTGCAGTTTGTGAGGTTTATTTGAAAATTATTTACATATCCCGTAATATTTACACTCTGCTTGGTTGTGTCTTTTTCAGCACCTCGCCATTGTCTGTAACTAATACAGTGTTACTGTTTGTCTATAAAATGAGAGAACAAGGTTGTAACTACCTCCATAACACTGTTTCTAGCACAGCAATTATGCTTCGCGGAAGGTGATCTCCTAGAATTAGGGAACTTAGAATTTAGCCACTTTGGAAAGTTTCTTATGTGTTGTGATTTCTTACGCAGAGTCGTGAAGACAGTGGCTGTGAAGATTCTGAAGAACGAGGCTAATGACCCAGCTCTTAAAGATGAGTTATTAGCAGAAGCGAACGTCATGCAGCAGCTCGATAACCCTTATATCGTGCGCATGATTGGGATATGTGAAGCCGAGTCCTGGATGCTGGTCATGGAGATGGCAGAACTGGGTCCACTCAATAAATATTTACAGCAGAACAGGTATGTTTTGGTCCCCCAGGAGCTGATGCTGTGGTGGGGCAGGGCCCGCCTGCCCAGTGTATGTCATAGCCCGATGGCTATGTTGGCCCACACTCAGGGACCTTGAGGGAAGAGAGTTGTAGTCTTTGGATCAAAAGCTCTTTTAGCTCTTATTGTGCTCAGAAAAACTCTAGTCCAACAATTTGGTCTTCATTCTCCTTTGCTCACTCTATATTGTTCGGCCTCAGAATATCCTGGCAATCAGTCTCTCCTCACTAGGCAGAACATGCCATACCTAGAGAGAGAAATATTAAAATAAACGTTTTAAAAGGGAGTAACAGTGATTGATGTCTTATGCGTCTGGCTGACCTCTACGTTCCTACGAGTAATTCTGAAAATAACTGTTGCTGTTAATGGATTACAAGCATTGCTGGGGGATTCATGCTGTGCTCATTTACAGCCATTGTTGAGATGGAGGAAGTCACGTGGGATAAGTCTTAATAATAGCCACTGATCACTTGGTCCCAGTTGATACATTACGCGTGTACTCTACTTAGATTGTGCCTCTAATCAGCATAGGAGGGAAGAGGTGCCGTTAGCCCCACTTCGCAGGTAAGAAACTGAGACTCAGAGGTGGTTTTGTTACCTGTCCAATGTTGGAACAAGGATTCCAACCAAAGCCTGTCTGTCCATGAGTCAGGTCTGTCCACCTCAATTATACTGCAGTTCAATTCAATTCATGCAATTCAGAGCACACCTTGAAAATCATATCAGTTGAATACCAGGATAACGGTGCTCAGTTCTGAGCAGCTGTAAGCTAACAAGGTTGTCACCACTTGTTACTCTTAAGGAAAATAGGAAATGAGAGGATCCCTCCGCGTGCACGAAGAGCATGGTTGGCTGGTCCCATACGGACTGCAGTCCACCATCACTAAAGACACGTCTATAACTTTCAGGCACGTCAAGGATAAGAACATCATAGAGCTGGTCCATCAGGTTTCTATGGGAATGAAATATCTGGAGGAGTGCAATTTTGTGCACAGAGATCTGGCTGCAAGAAATGTATTGCTGGTCACTCAACATTATGCCAAGATTAGTGATTTCGGACTTTCCAAAGCACTTCGTGCTGATGAAAACTACTATAAGGTAGGAATAATTTCGCCAATATGCAAAGCAGGTGGTGAGAATCTGAAATGCAAGTGTTTATGTTCTTTATTTGATTATGATAGGATTTCAAGAAGCAATTTACCTATCGAATTTGCCTATGTAAAAAATGTTCTTGTTAAGCTTTGATTATGTTGTTCTCTAAAATGAAAATACTCTAATATATCACAACTTGAGTTTACTCTGAATAGTATTTTCCAAACTATATTCCTGGGAACAAAAAGGAATCAAAGTATTAATTGATGATTCGTTAAAACACACACACACACACAAGAATAGAATTCCTTCCTTAAATTACTTTGGAAAAATGTGTTGAACAGGTTGATCCTTATAGGATTTCTCAGAGCCCCCCCTCAACCCCCCAGATGAACTGATAGCAACTAAAGGAAGGGAAAAACATAAGAAAGTCTCATATGAACTCAGTCACAGTGTGTATGTTGAGTCTAGGTTGATCAACTAGAAAATGTAATGGGAATGAAACTCAGATAGTGAAAGAGGGGGCCAAGAACAGATTTCCAACTCTCCAGGTCCCTGGGAGAGTCGAGCATTCTCAGAAATAGACGGCCCACCCCTGAAGCTCTCACTTGAGGATGGCAGGATGGGGGCCGTGGGATTGCCCTGGGCTCCACACCCTGGAGTGCCGGGTCCCCCACTCACCCACCCACTCACTTCTCTCTGGGACGGCTGCCGTGTTCGGCAGATGGGGACAGTGGGTCTTGGCCGGCTAGGGACTGGCATAAAGGATGAGCAGCAAGAGCAGAGCTGTCCAGCAGTACTCCATCCTCCAGAGAGAAGCTGGCCCCAGAACAGAGCCCCTTCAGAGATGAGCCACCGTTAGAAAAGCACCAAGTGAGCCCTTTACAGACACTGCAAGGAAGTGAAGCAGAGGAAACGGCAGCCTAGAGGGACAAACCCAAGCACGCCCGAGAAAAGCAGATGTTCCGTCCGGAGGTGCTTTGGAACACACGCTTCATCATGATAATTAAAAAGAGAGGAAAATCTAGACTGAAACTAGGACTCCAAGAGGACACAGAGAGGTTGAGATAACAAATCGTCCCCAAACTTAGTCATTAACACAATACCAAGTGTTAATTTACTCACAGTTCTGCGGCGTGGGCGGGGCGTGGTGGGGTGGCGCATCTCCGAGGCTCACGGTGTCTCGGGGGCGGTCCCAGGAGGGTGGGAGGATCCACTCCCACTCTGCTCACTCACACAGCTAGAGCCTGATCTCACATGGGCCGGGGCCTGGGCCCTCCGCTGGGGTGTACCCAGCTCACCTGCACGTGGCCTCTCCACGTGGCCTTGCCTTCCTCACAGCATGGCGGCTGGGTCCGGAGAGCAGGTTACTCACAAGGCAGGAAGTGAGGCTGCCCCTAAGGCCGGGGCCCACAAACTGCCTCAGAGTCATATCCACCCTGTGCTACAGGTCAGAGCATCCACAGCCCACCCAGATGCAAGGGAGGGAGAAGGACAGACCCCACCCCTAGTGAGGACGAACGTTAACACGAAGGCCAATGTCTAAAACTGCCAAGATACTCAACAGCATACTGTTGAAAAGGAAACCAGTGACTCTCTGAAAATTAATGAAGCAGAGGAAGAAAATATTGAAGACACTAGAGAAATACAAGCCAAAGGATCTGAACCAAGATAGTGGGGTAGGAGATCCCAGCCTCCATCCCCTGACAAAGATCAAAAATTAGATAGCCATCCTTGAAGGAGACCACTCTGGGAGAGCTTGGGAATCCACTTTAGAAAAAGCTTCAGCAACACAGGGCAACAGCAAACCTCAGAATAGCTACACAGAAAGAGACGGGAGAACAGCGCCATTTTACCTGCCCTAGCCCATCCATGAAAATGAAAACAAAAAGTAGCAGGAGTAGCTATATTTATAGCAAACAAAATAGACTTGAAGTCAAAATCTGTAACAAGAAACAAAGAACGTCATCATATAATAATGATGGCGTCAATTCATTAAGAAGTTATAACAATTCTAAATATATATACACCCAACGTTGGGGAACTTTCTGAATTTAACCTGAGTAAACAAATACTAACATATCTGAAGGGAGAAATATACAACTATACAATAGTAGTAAGGATTTTCAGTACCCCACTTTTATCTATGGATAGGTCATTCAGACAGAAAATCCATAAGGAATCATTGGACTTGAACTATACTTTAGGCCAAATGGATCTTAACAGAATTCACAGGTGAATTCTGCCAAACATTTAAAGGAGAATTAATGCCAGTCCTTCTCAGACTCTTCCAAAAAATGGAAGAAGAGGAAACATGCTCAAACTCATTTTCCAAAGCCAGCATTACCGTGATCCCAAGGCCAGATAAGGACAGTACCACAAAAGAAAACTATAGGCCAAAATCCCTGCTGAACATACATGCAAAAATTCACAATAAAATACTGGCAAACTGACTTCAGCAACATTAAAAGAATCATACACCACAATCAAGTGGGATTTATCCTGGGATGCAAGGATGGTTCAACATCTGCAAAACAATAAATGTGGTACACTGCATTAATAGAATGAAAGATAAAAATCATATGGTCATCTCAATAGATGCAGGAAAAGCATTTGACAGATTCCAGTATCCTTTAACGATGAATACTTTTTTTTTTTTTAACGATGAATACTTTCAACAAAGTGGGTATAGAAGGAACATGCCTCAACACAATAAAGGCATATATCACAAGCCCACTGCTCACATCAGACTCAATGGAGAAAGATTGAAAGCTCTTCCTCGAAGATCAGGAACAAGGGAAGGATTCCACTCATACCACTCCTACAGTATGGAGGTTCCTCAAAAAGTTAAAAATAGAGCTACCCTATGACCCAGCAAATTACACTACTAAGTATTTATCCAAAGGATACAACCATAGTGATTAGAAGGGGCACATGCACCCTAATATTTATAGCAGTAATGTCCACAACACGTGGTTAAGGAGAAGAATTAAAAAGTAAAGTGCAAACCATAGGTCCTAACTTCTCTACCTCCCAAAAGATATATGTTACCTATCTGTACTTGGATATAGACTTTTTTCTGGAAAGATTCAGGAAAAATGATCAAACGTGCCCATCTCTATGGAGGAAGATTTGAAGTTGGTGGAGAGAGACTTCACTTTTCGACATATTTAGGACTCGTCAAAGGGTCATCTTTGTATCACCTCAAAATTCAAATTAAAATTGAAATAATACATATGACTAAATTGTTCACAACTTTGGAAACCAGAATCTAAAAATAATGCATTACATGACTGAGACAGAAGGGTAATCAGAGTGTCATTTACAGACACCCATGGTGCCTGTGGTCTCAGAGCGATGTCCCGGGCTGGGCCCCTGCTGACCCACTGTAGGGCAGCCCCCCTCCCTCCCTCCCCCCAAGGGTGCTTGTTAGCGTGACCTCCCCAGGAGGCAGCCGGACTGACTTACTCACCGAACTCCAAGCCCCAGAGGAAAGAGTTTCTGCTGGGCACAATTTTGATCTCCTTACTACCCCTTGCTTTTTTAAATTAGAAAGTTGAAAACATTTTTGGAGTGCTGGGCTGTCTCCGTCGGTGGAGCGTGGGACGCTTAATCTCAGGGTTGTGAGTTCGAACCTCATGTTGGGTGTAGAGATCACTTAAAAATAAAATCTTAAAAAAGAGAAAAGTTTAAAGCATTTTTAAAGCCATACTAGCAGTTTGTGACAAAATAATTAACGTTGGCTGAAAACTGCCGACAAGTACCTAGTAATAGTTAACTATTCTTGGGAATGGCCCAGTATTTCTTGGAGGACAACCATAAGGCTAAAATTCAGGCTGGGTTCTTGTGTTGGCACAACAAGCCCCATGAAGCTGTGAGTAGCCAAAGGAAGAGGCGAGAGAAACAGACAGAACGGCACAAGAAATACAGCCTGAATCTTAAAAAAATATAATGAAATCTTAAAACTTTAATTTTTTTTAAGATTTAAATATCTATTTTTAAGATTCGGACCAAATACATACATGCAGACATGCCCAGGGCATTTCGTGAGTCATTTTATTCCTGTCTTTTTTATTATTTTGGTTAACACACATCAATTTTATTTGTTGGCATAAATTTTACCATCTGAACTATTTTTAAGTGTGCAGTTCAGTCATGTTAAGAACGTTCCCTGTGCTTACAACCACTCTCCAGAATTCTCTGAAACTCTGTCCTCATTAGATAGCGAGCGACTCCCCCTGTCCTGCTCGAGCCCCCCAGTCCCTGGCGATCGTCCCTGTGACTTGGACCCTCTAGGGGCCTCGGGTGAGTGCTTTCATGCAGTATTAGTACTGCAGGGACTTGGCCCGGCTGATTTCCCCGAGCCTGATGTCCTCAGGCTCCATCCATGCTGTTCCGTGCGCCAAAAGTCCCTTCCCATTGGAGGCCGGGTGCTACTCCATTGCGTGGATATGGATGGACCTGCTGTTTATCCAGTCCTCCGGCAGGGGATGCGTGGGGGCCGCGCAGCGTTTGCTGCTGTGAACCCGGGCGTCCACAGCCCTGTTGTCACCGAGGGTCTCTGCCTGCTTTGCTCTCAGGCCCAGACCCACGGGAAGTGGCCGGTGAAGTGGTACGCTCCAGAGTGCATCAACTACTACAAGTTCTCCAGCAAGAGCGACGTCTGGAGCTTCGGCGTGTTGATGTGGGAGGCGTTCTCCTACGGGCAGAAGCCCTATCGGGTGAGCTCCTGCTGTTTGGGTTCTAGCTATGTGGCCAGCCCAACGGACAAGCCCCGGATGATTGTCACAGGACGCCGGAAATCACAAACTCGTAAAATCTGGGCTCCCTGTCTGAGTCTTTCACTGTCTTTTGACAGTGAGCAGTGGATATGGCCTCCGTTTATTCTAAACTGAAAAAAAAAAGTGATATTAACTGAACAGCAGACTTAGTTTCATTGTGCATTACACATATAAATACGCATAAAAGAGACCCACGTCGACATTATAATTAGAGTGGAAATAGAGATATTCATATATATATATATATATATATATATATATATATATATTAACTGGCAGTTCAGTTAAATATTTTAGTTTTTTTTTTAATTTTTTTTTTTAAAGATTTTATTCATTTATTTGACAGAGAGAGACACAGCGAGAGAGGGAACACAAGCAGGGGGAGTGGGGGAGGGAGAAGCAGGCTCCCCGCGGAGCAGGGAGCCCGATGCGGGGCTCGATCCCAGGACCCTGGGATCATGACCTGAGCTGAAGTCAGATGCTTAACTGAGCCACCCAGGCGCGCCTATTTATTTATTTATTTTTAAAGATTTTATTTATTTATTTGAGAGAGAGAGCACGAGGGTGGGGAGGGGCAGAGGGAGAAGCAGACTCCCCACTGAGCAGGGAGCCTGATGCTGGACTTGATCCCAGGACCCTGGGATCACGACCTGAGCCGAAGGCAGACGCTTAACGGCTGAGCCACCCGGGCGCCCCAAATATTTTAGATTTTTTAAAATCAAAATATGCATACCAAAAAGGGTACCTATGCTAGAATACAGTTTGATGAATTTTCACAAACAGGTGTGCCCATGAAACCAGCCCCCAGATGATGAACAGAAGGCCCCCCGTGCCCCCTGCACACACAAGCTGTCCCCCAAGGGTAACCCCGTCTGACTTCTAGATCATGGGTTAGGGGCTCCTGTGTGTGTACTTTTTATAAGTGAAATCGTGCAGCGTGCACTTTTGCCTCTTTGGGGCGGGGGTAAGACTTACCTGTTGTGTTTTGTTTTGTTTTGCTGAACACTGCCTTAAACAAGCTCGGGTATGTTTTGTATTTTAGGGCATGAAAGGCAGTGAAGTTTCGGCTATGCTGGAGAAAGGAGAGAGGATGGGGTGCCCCGCGGGGTGTCCAAGGGAGATGTACGAGCTGATGAAGCTGTGCTGGACGTATGAGTGAGTACCCAGCGTGCCCTGCAGTTTATGCAAAGGCCCTGGGGCAGGTGGGAAGGCCCTGGAAAGTAACGGCGCCTCGGTCTTTCCGTGAACCAGGACTGTGCTCCCTTCTAAACAAAGAGCGGTGGGGTGGCTTGCTTCCCGGACCAGGCACTCCTATTCTCCGATCTAAAGAATAAGTTTAGACGATGAGCTCTGATCCAGGGTCTCTAAACTTAAGTGTAGATGGTACCAGCTGGGGGTGAGGGCGGTCAGCGTAGAAAGGCGTTGGCGGAGTCCGGGCTGCTGCTGTGTTGCACTTTTGGCAGCAGGGGCTGGCGGAGTATCATACTTGCCCGATTCCTGACCACCCTTCCAGGCAAGACCAGGGGTGTCGTCCAGGTCGCAGGGGGATCGGCCAGGGGAGCGCTTCCCCAGAAGTGACAGACCTCGGACAGTGGCCCTGAGCGTCTGCCGCGTGCAGTCACGCGTCCTGCCTGGGGGAGTGCGTGTGATGTTGTAGGCTGGTGGTGTTCGGGGCAGCTCAGCGGGCCACAGACGTGCACCACAGCTGACAGTCAGGGACGCGGCCTTTGACCTCGCCCGGATCGGTGGCCTGTGCGTGGGCCGTGGGGAGCCCCCGAGCCTGGTCTCCGTGTCTCTGACCCCGGCGTGTGCCTGTGCGCCCTCGGAGCTCCGAGGTGCTGTGGGTCTGTGATCTAGAGGAGCCGTGTTCTTGCCCTTCCGTGGCCTCAATACTTAGGGTCAGGTTTGCTGTCAGAGACGCGGGCTGATGGAGCAGGAGCATCTGGAGGGTGAGGAATATTCCAAGTGCTTTCAGATGCCGCCAGGGATTCTGTAACTCCCTGAGGACCATCGTCCACTACAGCTGGGAGTGGAAGTAAAGAATGCCATCATTATCTAGAAGGGACTCAGGGTCCGCCCCCAGGGCAGAGGGCGGATGTTTCCCTGGCTGACGCTGTGGACACAGTCCAGGGAAGAGGCCTTTGGCAGGGGTCCAACGGAGCCGCTGGGGACAGCCCAGGCTTGTTCTAGCATCCAGCAAGCACCGTGCACCCTGCATGGCTTTGGAGACCCCGCAGGCTGTGAGGATTCTTTGGGAGCTGACCTCCAGGTTGGAAATGAGCTCACAATGCCTTCCCTCTGTGCACTTGGGTCCCAGCCTCTGGCCTAAGCGACCTCTCCTTCCCAAGGACACTGGGTCGGGTGACCCCCAGCAGCAGGGCGAGGCCACGGGTCAGGCGCAGCCCTGGGGGAGGGCACTTACTAGAAGTAAGTAAACTTGTAGAAGTACCTTCTCCTCCTGTGGAAGGTTTCACTTCCTCCGGGAAGAATACTCTTGAAATCATTCTGAGACACATTTTAAAACCTGAAATTAAAATCAGCTCTCAGGGAGGTCGTTAAAATTTGTGTTTTGGCATTTAATGCTAAGACTGACACATTTATTTCTGTCTGCTGTCTTTTGTGTTTGCCAATGAGTAAGGCAAGGGTGGGCGGGAGGGGGCTCGGGGCGGGGGCGGGTGTGAGGGGTGGGCCCCGTGGGGTGGGGCAGCCAGGGCGCCACCTTCTGCCGCAGCTCCCGCCTGGCTCGGGGGCCGTGAGCCTGCCCAAGCCGCTCAGCACCAGGCGCGCTCTTCCTGTGACTCAGGGCATCCGGAGCGGGCGCTCTGCCCACCTGTCCCTGCGGGACCCGAACAGCTCCTTGCACCATTTTTGGCCGCATGGTCCCCAAAGGGAGGACACACAGGGGACACAGGGCTCCTGAGTACTCACCAGACCTGGGGTGTGTGTGCTCACCGGGAGGCTACGGTTACATCAGAGTGAGGCCTACAGGCAGGGACGTCTTTCCCCCGGCTTCCAACCCAAGCATGCGCTCTGGTGAGTTCCATGTTGCTAACGGAGAACCAGCCACAGGATTTAAGTATCAGCCAGGTAAAAGCAGTGATGGCAGTCCATGCCCGAGATGAGAAATGATGAGTCCTTATCAGTCTTGGATTCGTTTTCCAGCAAAGCTGTATTTCTGAACGTTCAGGTTCTTCTGGTAATGACCCGACCGACATAGGGTAGAGGACAGGACGGGGGGTTTGGAGACTTGGTCTCAATGTAAGTAGTGAGATGATGTGCCCTTGAATGACGAAGCACCCTTTTCTTGGGCACGGCCACCAAGGAGCCCTTAGACACCAGGCGATGGTCTGGCAGCCAGGTCCCTACCCAGGGCCCTCAGGGCGGCGCCTGGCCAGGGCCACCGGCAGCCGCTGCATTCACCCAGCCTTCCCTGCGGTCCCACAGTGTGTCCTGGAGCAATATTCTGGGCACTTTCCAGGGCGGGGGCCGGAACCCTGTGCAGGCGGACATCCCCCCTGGCTCTCTGGTTTTGCGGAGGGGAACAAGGCATTCCGAGCAGCACGTGCAGAGGTCGCACTGAGGGCAGGGGGCAAGTCAGGGCCAGGAAGGGAAGATGGGCCCCGAGGGAAATGGGGAGCAGCAGGGCTGGGGGCTTTGGCTGTGTTTTACAGAGTCAGTGTATGGCCTGTAATTAGGGATGCCAGTGGGAAAAACCCTTGCTAATCGGGAGAAGTTGGGTCTCTTCACCCTGAAAAATGGGCTCCTGCCTAATGGAAAAAAGCCCGGGACATTGAGGATCTCTGAGGTCGGGAATGATCTAGAGGGAGCTCGAAGTGCTGCTTAAAGATCAGTAAACCCGAGCAATGGGGTGACATTGCCTGGACCATCTGGAGGCCCGCCCCTGGCTCCCTGCTCGGCTCAGTGCCAAGTCTGTTCCCTCTGAGCACCCCGTTCCCTCTGAGCGCCCTGTCCCCTGAACGCCCCATCCGCTGAGCGCCCCGTCCGCTGAGCACCCCGTCCCCTGAGCGCCCCATCCGCTGAGCACCCCATCCCCTGAGAGCCCCCTCCCCTGAGCGTCCCGTCTGCTGAGCGCCCCGTCCCCTGAACGCCCCGTCCGCTGAGCGCCCTGTCCGCTGAGCACCCCGTCCCCTGAGCGCCCCGTCCTCTGAGCGCCCCATCCCCTGAGCGCCCCCTCCCCTGAGCGCCCCGTCCGCTGAGCGCCCCATCCCCTGAGAGCCCCCTCCCCTGAGCGTCCCGTCTGCTGAGCACCCCGTCCCCTGAGTGCCCCCTCCCCTGAGCGCCCCGTCCCGAGAGCCCCGTCCGCTGAGCGCCCCAGTGTTCACGTGGCCCGCACTCACCATTGGAGATGCTGTGTGCAAGCCACCATCCCATCCCCCGGGGCGGGGGTCAGCAAGCCTCGAGGAAGGCCCAGACCCTGCCCTGCTAGAGCCTACAGACGAGGGGAGGGGCGAACAGGCGATAAACAAGCTAAGGAACCCATGTGCTCTCAGAAGGTAATGAGTCCAGTGGCATTTCAGTGCCGAGGCCACGGCCCAGGAGGGTGTTGTACGTGTGAGTGGGGTCTTAGAATACCCCCCGTGTGCAGGTGCTTTCTCACACAAGGAGATGTAGCACCGGCCTGGGGCCCAGAAGCACATGGAGCTTCCGGAACCTGGTGGATTCCATGAAGCAAATACAGATGAGCCCCGTGTATTGTCCAAGCTTTTTGAGGCATTTTTTGTTGTTCTTGTTTTATCCATTCTAAACAGTCAACTAGGTGGATGGATCAATTAATACGTGATAGATGGCTAGACAGATGATGGATAGGTAAGTAGGTAGGTAGGCAGACACATACACACACACTTCAAGACTTACCACTGACACACTCTATTGACCCCCCTCCACGTATGTACTGGTGGACACTTACCTGGAGGAGGTCATGATCCTGGGCTGGCTGTGCTGGAGGACTAGGTGTTGGGAGGCAAACGTGCCACAGATTAGCCCCCCATAAGCCCGTGATCACGCATGACTATCTTTTGGTTAGAGGTTCACATCGGCCTCCATCGGGGAGTGGCGTCCCATCTGAGGACTGCAGGATAAGGGGCAGGGGTGCAGGCAATGAGGAAAGAGGGGCTGCTGGCCCGAGGACCCGAGCGGAGAAAGCCCCCCAAGGCCCCGGGAGGCCGATGCGGGCAGGTGGGGACAGACAGGAAGCTCACACACGTGTAGGACGCTTGGCCACACTGGCTAAAGCTCAGCATCACGGCATCACGCTCAAGTGTCGAGGAGAGATCCCCTGGGAGGCCGGACCAGGTGTCCTTGCCGAGCGCCGGTCTGTATCCCTATGTCGGATGGTTTGCTTGGTGCCTGGCTGCTGGGTGGATGGAGACTAAGGAGCTCCGTGCATTTGGGTCCCCAGAGCTGGAGGGGAACGTTCGGTTTTGCAAAGATGAGGTGTGTTGTTTGACTGTAGAAGGAGGGAGGCTGTCCATCTGGGTAGACGCTGCGTCCACCTACGCTCCTGCACCCGGGCTTGGCCCCCAGCTCTCCTGGAGCACAGCTTGGTGGCCAGAGGCGTGGCCCCCTCCCACAGCAATGCCCAAGGTGGCCTGTGTCCCCAGCCAGACCGCAGACGGCTGTAAATTCCAGCAGTCCATTATGGTTTTTCCTTACTCTTGAAAGTTGTAGGTGAAACCATTTATTTTGATGGCATTTGACAAAACCCATTTGGGTTCCGTGAAAGCCACGCTCCTTGCAGTGGTGAGTGATTCTGGGTCCCCGTGAGCCTGCCCCCTGGCCGCCCCACCAGACCCACACGGAACCTCCTGAAATTCCAGTCTGAATGTGGACACTTCCCCCAGTGCGGCCTCAGGTTCTGTTTCACTTACTGGGCAACTTCACCCTCGGGCAGGATAGCCCCAAATCCCGCAATGTAAGCAAAATTACTTCCACGCCGGGGCAGGTTCTCACAGTTTTAAGAAATACTTCCTTTCAGCTGATGCTGTCCTGTGGGAGGAAGCAGAGAAGTCTATGACAAGTTTTGAGTTTAGTGCGAACCCGTATCAACAGCACGTTTTCAGAAAATCCAGAGCTATCCGACTGGGGTGCGGGAGAGGGTACTTTAAATTGTGTCCATCTCTTTCTAACAGGATTCCGAGTCCAACTTGAAATAGGTCTGGGGCCCATCGACCCACTAAGTACTTTTAGGCATGTTCTATTTTTGCTAGATCACAAGGACAGAGTCTCCGACCTGGGGCTCAAAGATCCCGACTCTGAGAGCAAAACGGCTCCACGCTGAAGGTGGACACGAGTCCGTGGGGAGCCTGCTGCAGGCCGGCGGGGCGCTGCGGGGGCTCCTGGCCGCCGGGTGCAGGGGCTTCCAGGGGGCAGGGCCCCAGGCACCTGTTGCGGGGGCTGGATCACAGCGCGTGCACGGACGGACAGACCGACAATAACGCGGGTCTTCCCTTTTCCAGGGTGGAGAAGAGACCCGGCTTTGAAAACGTGGAGCTGCGGCTGCGCAATTATTACTACGACGTGGTGAACTAAGGGCCCCGCGCCCTGCGCCGCTGCCGGGGGCCGGGGAGCGGTCACAGCAGAACCCGCCCGACGCAGGGATTTCGAGAGCGTCCACCTCCCTCTCTGCCGTCGGGAGAGCCAGCCTCGTGCGGGACATGCCCGCGACCGTTGTCCCCAAGGCCTGCCCCAGAGCACACCCTCTGCAGAGCACACCCTCCCCGAGGAGCCCGGGAAGAAAGCCGGCAGGACCGGGGGGCCCGTGGATTCCGTTGTGTTTCTCGCCTGTGCGGTTTGAAGGGCAGGTTCCGCTGAGGGTCCGTGTGGGCATCTGAATCTGCAGCAGCCGGGAGGCGTCCCGGGCTCACCTGCGCCGCCTGCCCTGCAGGGAAGGCGAGCGGAGCGGGTTTGGCTGCCCCCAGAACCTGGCGCCGACAGGTCCAAAGACTGAGCCCTCCCACGAAAAGCTTTCCTGGCCATGAAAGTGCTTTGAGGCTTTAAAAAAGAAAAGAAAAAACAAAAACAAAAACAAGCTGGACCAGTACAGTTTCTAAGCATGTAGCCAGTTAAAGGGGGGGAAGAAAGGTCTGGATACTGCATTTGCTCTGTGCGTTCTGAGACACAAGACTCAGATCCACGGGACAGATGGGGCTGTGGGCATGAACTGGCTTGGCGTGCCTTCCCCCCGAGAGCCTCTCTCCCGCACACCCTCCTGGGACTGTGCTTGCTTGGAGGTGGTGGAGGGGGGAGGGTGTCTGTCCTCTCGGGCCTGAGCAAGGACAGACGGCAGGTGCATCGGGCTGTCCTCTCCTTAGGGAGGTCCCAGCTCCCCTCCCCTAGACAGAGGGTACCTCCAGAATCCCCTGACTTTTCCTGTGTTCACAGCGGGGGTGGGGGGTGGGGACAACCCGGGGGCCAAGGTTGTTGGCCTGAGTTTCCTAAGGTTGTATTAATTCATAATAAAGCCACAGACCCTGAGCCTCGCCGCAAGCATGCCTGAGTGTGACTTTGGGTTGAAGATACGAGACTGGGAATTCTCAGCTAGCTCCCTAGTCTTAGCGGAGCCTTGAGTCGTGTGTGAGCTTATACAAGTCATCAGCCCATGTATGGCAGTTTGAAAGTCAGAGGGAGTTAGCTGTTATTCATAGGGCAGCTGAGACCCTGGGCTGGTGTCAGTCATACCGGAGACATTTTAAAGTGTACGTCCGGCCTGCTGTCGGGAGAGTTTCCCTTCTCATAGCAGGGCATCCAGGCACAGGGAAAAGCAGCAGTCAGCACCCTTGCTCAGCCAGGAGACATGAGTCACTCGTCGAACTGGTGGGAAAAAGCGTGTAGAACCCACCTGGGCTTTTTTGGAATCGTGCTAGCTGGTGGATTAATCATCTTGTTAAAGAGAGGGTCCCGGCGTGCTGAGCAGATACTCAAAACACGGGCGGCATACATCAGAGTCCCTGAAATTAAAAAGCCGAGTGACAGAATCTCTGCGGGGGGCTGTCTGTGGATTTGGAGTCATGCCTGCAAGGTTGGACCGAGCGCTGGTGACCTCTGAGCCAGTGGTCGAGTCTCGGGCAGAGGCCGTGCATGGAAGGCTCCGTGATGTGAACGTGCGCAGTCTGGGAGGTGAGGATCCTCACTGGGCACTGGCCGTGGCTGGAACTCACAGGCCCGCCACCCTCCTGACGGTTCTCTCTCCCCAGGCCTGAGCGCCCTCCCGGTGCCTTCCCCTTCTGGTCCTTGTTCAGGGGCAGCAAGACGGCCTCTCGGACAGACACACCACTCCGGCCAGAGCCAGTCACTGCTGGTGCAACACAGACCGTGTCCCCACCGGGGACAACTGTAATCCATTCTACGGTGACAGGGACTGCTTGTGGTTTTCAATGTGAGCGTGTCCCCACGTGGGCTGTCACCGGCCTCGCAGTTCCCCCAGCCCCCGGTGGCCGCCGCCCTGCCTGGATGTCCACGCGCGGAGGTGACTGCTGGGTCCTCCGCCCCCCGCCCCCCCACAGAGCACACGCCACCATTTCAGAAGAACAACTTTTTGTCACTGGACTTGTTTTTTTTTTAACTGTGATTTTTTAATAAAACTTTTAAATTAGCTTTGTGATGATTTTTCATGGATATTATTGGAATGCTGTAGGTTGCACTGTCAAATAAACAGTGTTAAGCAGCGTCGTTAAATGTGAAATGTGTTTTTTTTAAAAAATGCTAAGTGCCCAGTTGAGTCCTAAAAAGCCGGATGCACACAGATCCCTGGGAGCGGGTCCGGGAGCTTCTGTTGTGCAAAGGCCTACCGAGGAGGGGCCTGGTGGGCCGTGACCCCTGTTCCTGGGGGCTGCCCAAGGAGGGCCTGACAGCCCGCCTCGTACCCTCAGGGAAGAGGGTGATGATCCCTGAAATCCCCACAGGCGCCAGAGCCCGGCTGGGGGTTGTGGGCTTCCCCCTTCCACGTGAAGACAGCGTACGGGGCATCGGGGAGCAGAGGAATTCAGAGAGTCCCCATCTCCACCTGTTTTATTTTATTTAATTATTTATTTTTTTAAAGATTTTATTCACTTGACAGAGACACAGCGAGAGAGGGAACGCAAGCAGGGGGAGCGGGAGAGGGAGAAGCAGGCTCCCCGCGGAGCAGGGAGCCCGATGCGGGGCTCAATCCCAGGACCCCGGGATCATGACCCGAGCCGAAGGCAGCCGACTGAGCCACCCAGGCGCCCCCTCCACCTGTTTTAAAGGGGGTCGCACACCACACTCATACGCTCCCATAAACGTGCACACCACATATGTACGCGCACCACATGCACACATGCCTACATATCGCTCACAGGTAGACGCACACACCACACAAACATACACACCACACGCTGAACCCTACTCCCAGTGACCCTCTAAATGCCAGTGGGGCAGTCGTCCTGCCGCGGGGATGCGCTGCTGGCTCTTTTTGTCTCTGCCTCCTCCTCAGGCGCGGGGTGGAGCGTCGGTGCCTCTCCTGGCCACCAGCCTCCCTCGGGGACCCGCTGAAGGGCCTCCTGCTGCCGGCAGGCAGAGTCTGGAGGCCTGTGTGGGCCGGCCTCACAGTCCCGTGGTGGCCCCGAGACCGGGACAGCCGCGAGACGGGGGCGACACAGAGCGGGCTCGTCAAGTGGCAGTGGTAAGAGTATGGTCAGCTGGTCCCCAGCGCCAACCGTAGCGGGTCCCCTACACTAGGGGAGGCTCACCCACCGACCTGCGTGGACACCTGTGAGTACAGATGCACAGGCCATGGGCCCGGCTCTGAAAATATCAGGGGGAGCCCCACCTCGTGGGGACCCGAGGGCCAGCTGGGTGGTGACCCAGGAAGCCAGCGACCTTGACTCTGAGCCTCCGACCCCGGGGGAGGGCGCAGGAACCACAGCGCCACGGAGGCACGGACATGAGACAGATCTGTCGCTAAGTGAGCTCGGGCAGAGGGGCTTGAGACCTGCGCTTGCAGTTCCAGGGAGTGGACAGACTTCAGAGCTAGCCGATGAACGCATTCTCGGTTCAGGGAAGGAAGAAGCCTTTGCCGAGAGCCAGAATGAGAGTTTGCTTTCCTGCACGCTCTGTTAGGGTAGGGGTAGACAGTGCTGGACGCTGCTCGTGGTCTGGGGAATGGTGGCCAGGGACAGCGGGTCCTACTGAGTCCCGCATGTTCTCCGGGGATGGGAGCCAGGCAGAGGCGGAGCCCAGCCCTGCTTCTGCACCTGTGAGTCTGACGGAACGGCTCGGGCAGCTCAGCTCGCCCTGCCTGGGAAGGGCCCCGGTGCCAGGCAGCCCACTTGCAGTTTGAGGAGCTGGGCAACAAAGACCTTTCCATGCGCTCTTGCCAGCTCAGCGTTTCCCCGACTTCTCGGACCACAGACCTGCCGCTGTGCTCAGTGCCCGTTAGCAAGACGGAGCTGGTGTTCCGCACATAGGCTGGGAAACTGCACACGAGGGAGGTGGCTCTCCTGGGGACCTGGGGCGTGTGTGGGGAGCTAATTCCATCCCTGACATCAGCCGGGGAGGCCATTCGCTGCGCTGTTAGCTGAAGAACCAGCCCTGTCCTGATCTCAAACGTCGGCTGCTTACACACACCATGTTCTCGCTGTCTCTCTCTCTCTCTAACACACACAGGATACATATAAGCAATCACTCCTTCAAAAGAAAAAAAAGAAGAAATGGTAGCATCTCACTACACCTGGGCTGCCCAGGGCACATAACTTGGTGTTTCGCCACCTAGAGCTGTTTGGGAGGCCACTTAGGATTTTGGAGTTTTGCAGAATTAGCCTAGAGGGAAAAAAGCACAGTTTTCCGGAGCAGTGGCTGCCCAATCGGGCGACATCCGCCTGGTTTCCCTAGGTCAGTCCAGGGTGTGCAGACCTGGTCTTCCCCCACCCCCGGCCCCCAGAGTTAATCCTACCCCCGGTGTCCCCCGGGGGGCTGGGCCTGGGGCTTGTCTTCCTATTTCACTTCCCAACGAAAGGTCTGCTTTTCCCGGGCCGCTCAGAGACTGCCCGCCCGCTCCGGCTCCCGGGGAGGGTGGGTGGGTGCCGGAGACCCGAGGGTGGGGGCCATTCTCCGCACGCCTGCGGGCACTTTCTCTGTGGAATTGGACCAGTCCTCCTGCCCTCAAGAAAGCAGCATAACGGGCAGAACAGGCTTTACAACAAATACTTCATCCCTCACGTGGTCTCCTGAGGCCTTGACAGTGGCCCTGTGGGTCCCAGAGGCCGCTCCCTGCACTGCTGGCTGACCGGGGGGATGCCTCCCCCGCCTGGGCCCGTGGCCTTGGCCACTGGTGGTTCTGGAGGCTTCCGGGAGAGAAAGCAGTTCGCCGCCTCGTCCGCGGCACTGGAGAGTGGCATTAGGATCTGTGGGTGTCCTCGTCTTCCTTCTCCTCACCCCCAGCTTTTGGGAAGCCCCCAGACGAGCACTCAGGGGTCAGAAATACGGATGCCTACACGACGCCCTTCAGTAGCATCGGCCCCACCTCTGACCGCCGGCAGCCCGGCGTGCAAAGGGTCTCACGCTGCGCCATGGACAAGCCGTGAACACACACAGTGAGAGGCTTTGGACCCCAGGCCCGTGGGACGTGGTGCTGAGGGCCCTGTCACAGAACTTTCGTTTGCACGTTTCACAGCTAGCCAAGTGTTTTCAGGCGTAAAACACTATTTTAAGTCTAAAAACAAGCAACTTTTGAGACAGCTGTCATTATTAATTCTTCATTTGACAAGTGAAAGGCCATGATTCAGAAAAGAGCACCAAAAAAGAGCCGGAGCCCCATTTCTTATCTCACAGCCCTGGCTCCTAGGCCAGGCTGCCCCCTAGAATCTTGAATGGAGCCTTCAAAACGCAGGTGCCCGGGCTCTATTCCCAGAGCACGGCCTCACCGTCTGACAAAGAGGGGGTAAGTTCTCGGCGGCACCGGTGGGCGTCAGGAGCCGTGCTCAGCCCAGGATGACACGGAGGAACCTGTGTGATCCAGGCCTCGCTCGGGAGAAGAATCCGGGGGACCCCAGCCTCGAACGCCACACCCAGCACCTGTGTCCCCAGATGGTGCGGGGATGCCTGGCAGGGAAGGAAGCCCGAGGTAATTTGTACCTGAAGCCATGCCCTGTAAGCATCCCAGGCAGCTCTCCATCAGCCAGACGGAGAAGCCTAAATGAGTGACTGCCCTGAGCAGCGAGCTAAGCATCGTTGAAGGCTTTCCCAGGGCAGATGCAGCTGCGGAGTCCGAGCTCACACACACGATTGTAGAGCCAGCTCTGAGAAAGCGCATTTCACTGGATGCACGGGAGCGGGCTCCCGGTGTGCACGAGCTAAGGCCGGGCCCCGCACGCTGGCAGGTACGGACCTCCCCCGACAGACGGTCCTGAGCGTGGGATGCCTCCAGATTTGGCTCACGGACTGTGCATGCTGGTCATTTCCACTCTACGTGCCTTCCGTGGAAAAAGAAAAGCGAGCACAGTGCACCTACGATTGTATAACTTTTGTTGGGCCATGTGTGTGGCCGCCAGGGGAGTCTCGCTTCCAGACGAGAACCGTCCCTGCTCCCGCCGGGAGGGAGCTTGCCATAATCACGCTTCCGGCTCTGCACGCGGCAACTGTGTTCCTCCTGCACATGCACAAGGGAACACGCCACCTTCTGTCTGTCGGTCCGTCTATCAACTCCCGCCACCTTCGCATCTCAAGCCAGGTGCTCAGGAAAGTAGGCGGTGGCCGGGCTCGGGAGACACAGGACCCAGGACCCAGGCAGTCTGCACCCCCAGCGCGTCTTTCCTCCCCCGAATCTTAACAGGGCTGCCCAGGGAACGTGGAGGGGAAGGAGGCAGCTGTCTTGAGAGATTGCAGATACAATTTCTTCCCCTGGGAAGCTGTATTTAAACGGCATGACTGTATTGTTAGGTCTTCTCCCAGGACCTTGGAGGAGCCCATTCGAACCCTGGGCACTGAGGATTGTACGGTATTAGCTTCCTGGTGAATCGTCGCTGCCAACGGCCAACAGGATAGCGAGAACCTGAGTATTAAGAGAGTGAGAGACAGAGGAGAAGGAGGGGTGAGGAGGGGAGGAAGAGGGGACAGAGGAGGAGGGGAAAGGTGGAATTGGGTGTAGGTAGTATGGGGAGGCAGATGGATGGTGCCAAAAAAGAGGACAGAAGTCACCTGCTAGGGCCACACTCTAGTGTGAGTTCTGCCTGTGTCCTGCCCACTCCGTCCACTCCCCAGGGCCGGCCCCGGTCAGTACATCATCGTCGGGGTCTGAGAAGGCCCCTCCAGACACACACCTTCCCCACCCTCCTTCTCTCCAGGCCCCCCACCTGTGCATGGAACCAAGGCCAGGTTCATACAGAGGATGGAAACGTCCCCAGCTCCCCCTCATCTAGAGACGGCCCGGCCTGCTGCTAAGTGTCCCCCGGTCTCACATGTGACCCCCACAGACTTCCTGTCCCCCGAGGTTGGAGAGGCTGATGGGGCTGTGGGGCAGAGCCTGCCCCGGAGTCCACACGGAGACCACGGTCACCGGCCACGACTCACAGGCCTGCCACGTCAGGTTCCTCAGAGTGTGTCTGCCACACAAGCCCGTGTGTATAGGGGCCGTGGTCATCGGCCGTGGCCCTGAGACCCCGCCCAGCCATTCCCTGAGCTCGGGAGCACCCAGTCCGCTCCCGGCCAGCATC